GATATAGAATCGCGTATTTAAAAGTTAAAGAACGATTTTCTTAGCTAAAGAAAGTAACGCAGTAGAAAAACACATTCTACGACAGACAGTAGAGAAGGAAGACGTATGAACCGACCGATGACGATTTCGATGCGACACGATCAATCGCGACATTATTTAAGTTATGATTATCTGATGTAATTGTGCTATTTAATTAATAATTATTGAAAACATAGTAAAAATTTAAAAATAAAAGTAGTATAAATCATTTGTAAAAAATAATTCTAAAATTCTAGAATATACTTGTAAAATATTTAGATTAATAAATGCATCAACTATATGAAATACAAATAAATATCGTATACATATAATATACTCGCTAATATAATTAACATTGATTATTATGATTATTAAATTGAACAGTTTTCTCTCAAAATTTGAACTAAAAAGTTATTTAGTTTCTTATATATACACTTGAGTAAAATATTTAAATTATTAAAGTGTATATATATATTGTAGGAAAATCATAAGAGTATATTGTTGTGTGTTCCAATTATTTTAGAACACTGAGTACAAAATTAATTTATTAAACAATATTATTTCTTTTGAAGTATAAAGTGCAACCGGAAATTTCCCAGAATTTCAAAGTATTGAAATTTCGAATACTACTCGCTATAATCATTTTCGATAATATAATGAAACAAAGACCAGTATCTTTTATATTCTTAATATCCAAAAAACAAAATTTCATAGTATCATTTTCAGATATTCTAAACATTTGATTATTCATATTAACGTTTGATTAATAACGGCAATTTTTTTCTTCAGTTTCAATCTCTTCTTAAGATTGTTTAAAAAGAGTTGAACTTGTGCTTTAAAATTTTTTTAAAATTGATTTAAAAAGAAATAAAATATATAAAATTAAAAAAAGAAAAAAAAACGGGTCTCCCTTTTATTAGACGACCATTATTTTCCAAACAATTTAATATGTTTCTAGGATAATTGAGGTCAAAAGAAGGGGTCATTTGCACCCTAGTAGTAGACATACCTCGCCGCCAGGCAAGCTGACGCTGACAACATCGCCCTTGGTGGCTTTAATCTCGCCGAGAAGGTAGCCATCCTTCTCATCAGGTACCCAGCACGCCTTCTTTGCATCATAGGGTTTTGTCTGGTCGATTCTCTTCTGCTCGAGAGAGACGAAGAGATATGGGGTCGGATCGGGATCCTCTCCCTCCTGAGCCTTTGGGGCTGGCATCCTTGGTACTTCCTCTGGGCTCTACTGGCGGTAAACTGATGCCGTGGCACTCACGGGCTATCTCGTGAGGTCTCGCTTCTTTTTCGGTAGGAGGGGAGGACTGTTCCTCTTCTTCCTGTCGTTTGCCTTTGGGGCTTGTTGTTGGTTCGGCGGCGGACGGACTACTTCTGGCGGCACGTTTCGGGCGGCCCTGGGGAACGATCGATTAGAAAATCTCGATTGCTCCCGGTTGCCTAAAGCTCGCTTTACGAAACTACAACTAGTCATTGGTGTGCAAAAGAGATATCTAATATATTTCCATTAATATCTTTTAAGAATATATAATGAGGAATCACACAATAATTATATATTTCAATAAAGATTACTTCTCTATTCCAATTGTATCTCTAGTCTAATTTCCAATTTTATTTAATAAATACTCTTTTGTGCGCCAATATAATAACGCTAAACAATGGCTGAGAAAATATATTTTATGAGATGTCCCAGATATCTCACAAGTCAATACTCGTCCATAGATTTTTTAAGTTTAAACTTTATTTTCTTGAGTAAAAATGTTAAATATTTGTCGCGTTCTTTGAATCTTTTTATAATTAATTTTTAAATTAAAAAATTGTTTAAGTAATACTTGATATTAAAAATATATATATTATAATAAAAAATATAGAAATACTGTCTCCAAAGCTTACAAACTTTTTATTTCAAACATTTGTAATTTAAAAGCATCGTCAATGTGTGTGTGTATTTGTTAAAAGAAAAGATTAATCTTAATTCTTATCAAATTAGTTGAAGCATTTACGGATTATTAATGTAAAATATCCAAAACAATCTATTAACGATGTATTTCTTCTATTATTTAATCTATTTGTAATATTAAAAATATTAAAAATTATTTTATACAAGAAGATCAGATGAATAATATTTCTTAGCCATTGCCTGAATACTAGAAGTCTTCTAGTCTCGTAAAGCGAAATTAAAAAAATTTTTTAAGATTTTTATCGAGACAACCGCCGGCTTTTCTCATTTCACTCAAATATTTAAAAAAAAACATTTCAATAGTAATACAAATTTAATTTATCCAATACGCTTCACGTCCGATCAGTTTTATATGATGTTGCTACAATGTCACTGGCACTAATACTCGACGATTGTGCGTGTATCACGAAGAAGATTCGCGAAGAAGAACGCGATAGGGGATTGCATAATCAGATAAGAATACAAAATGGAGCAGCCATGAAGCGGCACTGGCGATCGGACCAAAAAGAGCGATGTATCGCGTTACAAGATCTCCGATATTTCTGTTCCTTTGAACAAATATGAAAAATGTGTAACATATAGAAGACATTCGTAAGTTTATTAGCTTAACGGATGTTTTGAAAAAACGTAGACTTTAAATGATAAACAAAATCAGTCATAGATATATGGATCATAATAAAGAACAATATTGATGAGAAGGAAAAAGCGATAAGCTTTAAAAGAAGAATAAATACAAAGAAAAACATATAGATAATAAAAATGATAAAACTTTACATATAAAATCGCTGAATTTTTTATCTGATGAAGAATACGCTAAAATTTAATAAATAAAAAATCTGCAATTTTTAATACAAAATAAATCTTCTAAGCAGAAATTTTACGCATAGAGAAAATCGACCTCGCTACTCTTTCACCGATAAAAGACTATTACAATCAAATTAACTTTTCTGTATGCTGGTTTTTTTATTCAGTTTACGGCAACATAATTCGCACAAAAAATTATTCAAAAATTATTACGATAAGATGTCGTTCACATAACAATTATAAATTAAAATTAGGTATTTTAATATAATTTTGTGACATTGTTAAATCATATTATCTAAGAAAATTAAACAGAATTTTTATTTTCGCGAATCTGGAATTAACTAGCAAATGTTAATTAAGAAAACAATCTGGCCCTAAATAAGTCGATGCTTTTTTAATCAATATATCTATATTAACTTAATATTAACTCTTTTGCCCTCTATAAATATTTAAATAAACTTTTATATAATATTATGTATATTATATAGAAATTATAAATTATATAAATATGATTGAGATAATAGCACAAATGCGAATGTATTCGATGATTCCTTTAAAACGATTTGAACGCCTAGAACTAAAATTTGGTAGCGTCGCACATTGATATATTCCTGATGTGTACACCTCGTTGCTTCCAGCGAAAAGAAGAAACACGATTGGAAGTCGATTTGATCGACACTGAAAATACGCTCTTTCTTTTAATTTTAATTGAATCGGAGCAGAGGATGAAGAAGATGGAAGATATATAAAAGAAGAAGAAAAAAAACGAATAGGGAGAAGGAGAGAGTGCACACTATGTCCGACCACCGTTCAGAGGATTATAAACACAGACACAGGTAAAGGGCTCCTTCGAAGGGTCCTGGCACATCCTCGCTCGCACCTCGTCGGATTCTCACACGAGTACGTCACTAAGGATCGATGAAGATCAAAAACAGTCACTCCCTCAGAAAATCACCCCCTTTCCAATCACTTTCCGCCCACCTGGGGGTGACTTCCTTCCCGGGAACCGACCGATGACGATTTCGATGCGACACGATCAATCGCGACATTATTTAAGTTATGATTATCTGATGTAATTGTGCTATTTAATTAATAATTATTGAAAACATAGTAAAAATTTAAAAATAAAAGTAGTATAAATCATTTGTAAAAAATAATTCTAAAATTCTAGAATATACTTGTAAAATATTTAGATTAATAAATGCATCAACTATATGAAATACAAATAAATATCGTATACATATAATATACTCGCTAATATAATTAACATTGATTATTATGATTATTAAATTGAACAGTTTTCTCTCAAAATTTGAACTAAAAAGTTATTTAGTTTCTTATATATACACTTGAGTAAAATATTTAAATTATTAAAGTGTATATATATATTGTAGGAAAATCATAAGAGTATATTGTTGTGTGTTCCAATTATTTTAGAACACTGAGTACAAAATTAATTTATTAAACAATATTATTTCTTTTGAAGTATAAAGTGCAACCGGAAATTTCCCAGAATTTCAAAGTATTGAAATTTCGAATACTACTCGCTATAATCATTTTCGATAATATAATGAAACAAAGACCAGTATCTTTTATATTCTTAATATCCAAAAAACAAAATTTCATAGTATCATTTTCAGATATTCTAAACATTTGATTATTCATATTAACGTTTGATTAATAACGGCAATTTTTTTCTTCAGTTTCAATCTCTTCTTAAGATTGTTTAAAAAGAGTTGAACTTGTGCTTTAAAATTTTTTTAAAATTGATTTAAAAAGAAATAAAATATATAAAATTAAAAAAAGAAAAAAAAACGGGTCTCCCTTTTATTAGACGACCATTATTTTCCAAACAATTTAATATGTTTCTAGGATAATTGAGGTCAAAAGAAGGGGTCATTTGCACCCTAGTAGTAGACATACCTCGCCGCCAGGCAAGCTGACGCTGACAACATCGCCCTTGGTGGCTTTAATCTCGCCGAGAAGGTAGCCATCCTTCTCATCAGGTACCCAGCACGCCTTCTTTGCATCATAGGGTTTTGTCTGGTCGATTCTCTTCTGCTCGAGAGAGACGAAGAGATATGGGGTCGGATCGGGATCCTCTCCCTCCTGAGCCTTTGGGGCTGGCATCCTTGGTACTTCCTCTGGGCTCTACTGGCGGTAAACTGATGCCGTGGCACTCACGGGCTATCTCGTGAGGTCTCGCTTCTTTTTCGGTAGGAGGGGAGGACTGTTCCTCTTCTTCCTGTCGTTTGCCTTTGGGGCTTGTTGTTGGTTCGGCGGCGGACGGACTACTTCTGGCGGCACGTTTCGGGCGGCCCTGGGGAACGATCGATTAGAAAATCTCGATTGCTCCCGGTTGCCTAAAGCTCGCTTTACGAAACTACAACTAGTCATTGGTGTGCAAAAGAGATATCTAATATATTTCCATTAATATCTTTTAAGAATATATAATGAGGAATCACACAATAATTATATATATTTCAATAAAGATTACTTCTCTATTCCAATTGTATCTCTAGTCTAATTTCCAATTTTATTTAATAAATACTCTTTTGTGCGCCAATATAATAACGCTAAACAATGGCTGAGAAAATATATTTTATGAGATGTCCCAGATATCTCACAAGTCAATACTCGTCCATAGATTTTTTAAGTTTAAACTTTATTTTCTTGAGTAAAAATGTTAAATATTTGTCGCGTTCTTTGAATCTTTTTATAATTAATTTTTAAATTAAAAAATTGTTTAAGTAATACTTGATATTAAAAATATATATATTATAATAAAAAATATAGAAATACTGTCTCCAAAGCTTACAAACTTTTTATTTCAAACATTTGTAATTTAAAAGCATCGTCAATGTGTGTGTGTATTTGTTAAAAGAAAAGATTAATCTTAATTCTTATCAAATTAGTTGAAGCATTTACGGATTATTAATGTAAAATATCCAAAACAATCTATTAACGATGTATTTCTTCTATTATTTAATCTATTTGTAATATTAAAAATATTAAAAATTATTTTATACAAGAAGATCAGATGAATAATATTTCTTAGCCATTGCCTGAATACTAGAAGTCTTCTAGTCTCGTAAAGCGAAATTAAAAAAATTTTTTAAGATTTTTATCGAGACAACCGCCGGCTTTTCTCATTTCACTCAAATATTTAAAAAAAAACATTTCAATAGTAATACAAATTTAATTTATCCAATACGCTTCACGTCCGATCAGTTTTATATGATGTTGCTACAATGTCACTGGCACTAATACTCGACGATTGTGCGTGTATCACGAAGAAGACTCGTGAAGAAGAACGCGATAGGGGATTGCATAATCAGATAAGAATACAAAATGGAGCAGCCATGAAGCGGCACTGGCGATCGGACCAAAAAGAGCGATGTATCGCGTTACAAGATCTCCGATATTTCTGTTCCTTTGAACAAATATGAAAAATGTGTAACATATAGAAGACATTCGTAAGTTTATTAGCTTAACGGATGTTTTGAAAAAACGTAGACTTTAAATGATAAACAAAATCAGTCATAGATATATGGATCATAATAAAGAACAATATTGATGAGAAGGAAAAAGCGATAAGCTTTAAAAGAAGAATAAATACAAAGAAAAACATATAGATAATAAAAATGATAAAACTTTACATATAAAATCGCTGAATTTTTTATCTGATGAAGAATACGCTAAAATTTAATAAATAAAAAATCTGCAATTTTTAATACAAAATAAATCTTCTAAGCAGAAATTTTACGCATAGAGAAAATCGACCTCGCTACTCTTTCACCGATAAAAGACTATTACAATCAAATTAACTTTTCTGTATGCTGGTTTTTTTATTCAGTTTACGGCAACATAATTCGCACAAAAAATTATTCAAAAATTATTACGATAAGATGTCGTTCACATAACAATTATAAATTAAAATTAGGTATTTTAATATAATTTTGTGACATTGTTAAATCATATTATCTAAGAAAATTAAACAGAATTTTTATTTTCGCGAATCTGGAATTAACTAGCAAATGTTAATTAAGAAAACAATCTGGCCCTAAATAAGTCGATGCTTTTTTAATCAATATATCTATATTAACTTAATATTAACTCTTTTGCCCTCTATAAATATTTAAATAAACTTTTATATAATATTATGTATATTATATAGAAATTATAAATTATATAAATATGATTGAGATAATAGCACAAATGCGAATGTATTCGATGATTCCTTTAAAACGATTTGAACGCCTAGAACTCAAATTTGGTAGCGTCGCACATTGATATATTCCTGATGTGTACACCTCGTTGCTTCCAGCGAAAAGAAGAAACACGATTGGAAGTCGATTTGATCGACACTGAAAATACGCTCTTTCTTTTAATTTTAATTGAATCGGAGCAGAGGATGAAGAAGATGGAAGATATATAAAAGAAGAAGAAAAAAAACGAATAGGGAGAAGGAGAGAGTGCACACTATGTCCGACCACCGTTCAGAGGATTATAAACACAGACACAGGTAAAGGGCTCCTTCGAAGGGTCCTGGCACATCCTCGCTCGCACCTCGTCGGATTCTCACACGAGTACGTCACTAAGGATCGATGAAGATCAAAAACAGTCACTCCCTCAGAAAATCACCCCCTTTCCAATCACTTTCCGCCCACCTGGGGGTGACTTCCTTCCCGGGATAGATTCGGCACAGACGCACACGCGATCCTACCGAAGGAGAGCTTGAAGAGTTCTTTCTCGACCACCCGAACTCGGTCCCCTCGCGAGTTCCACAAAATTCTTACGGACCTAAGTTTCACCCTACATCGCCGCGATAAATCCATTCCTTATCACCAAACCGCTATAGCGTGTACACACGTGTATCTGGGTGTTCGTTGATCTCTGTGAGTGTGCGATCCGATAGATGATGCGTATTGGACGATAATATTCGGATGTTACATCCGGATGTTTCTTTCCATTATATTTTTCTTTTTCTCGTCTTCTGTCTTAATCGAAAGAGAAGAACTCAAATTTGGTAGCGTCGCACATTGATATATTCCTGATGTGTACACCTCGTTGCTTCCAGCGAAAAGAAGAAACACGATTGGAAGTCGATTTGATCGACACTGAAAATACGCTCTTTCTTTTAATTTTAATTGAATCGGAGCAGAGGATGAAGAAGATGGAAGATATATAAAAGAAGAAGAAAAAAAACGAATAGGGAGAAGGAGAGAGTGCACACTATGTCCGACCACCGTTCAGAGGATTATAAACACAGACACAGGTAAAGGGCTCCTTCGAAGGGTCCTGGCACATCCTCGCTCGCACCTCGTCGGATTCTCACACGAGTACGTCACTAAGGATCGATGAAGATCAAAAACAGTCACTCCCTCAGAAAATCACCCCCTTTCCAATCACTTTCCGCCCACCTGGGGGTGACTTCCTTCCCGGGATAGATTCGGCACAGACGCACACGCGATCCTACCGAAGGAGAGCTTGAAGAGTTCTTTCTCGACCACCCGAACTCGGTCCCCTCGCGAGTTCCACAAAATTCTTACGGACCTAAGTTTCACCCTACATCGCCGCGATAAATCCATTCCTTATCACCAAACCGCTATAGCGTGTACACACGTGTATCTGGGTGTTCGTTGATCTCTGTGAGTGTGCGATCCGATAGATGATGCGTATTGGACGATAATATTCGGATGTTACATCCGGATGTTTCTTTCCATTATATTTTTCTTTTTCTCGTCTTCTGTCTTAATCGAAAGAGGAAAAAGAAAAGTGGAAAGAAAAAGAAACAAGGCCGGCGGCGTCGCGCGACGGTCGCGACGTGATGCACTTACGTTAGAGAGCCGTTCTGTCGGGGAAACGCGCGGGGGCTCCCAATATAAGCGCGTGCAACGTGATCCTGGGGTGTAACGCGACGACCGATTCGTCGACCTGGCCGACCAATCGCGGATCGCGTTACTTCCACGGTCAATCTACCTTTTTAGGCGGACGATGATACTGAGAACGCGGTGCGACAAGGGGTGGCCGCGACGCCGCCGAGTGAGATGAAAATAGACATCGGAGCGAGACGCTGATGCCTGTCGGTCCCCTCTACGGAGTAACGCCGCTGATGGCTTCCCCCGCTCGGTACCCTGGACTACCCCCGGCCGTGGCGAACGTCGCGGACCTCGAAATGGAAGAAAGAGGTGGCGGAATTTCGGAGGATGCGCTCGTGCTTCTTCACCTCGCTCGGTTCCTCCGCGGTGATCCGTCGAGAAAAAGAGAAAGAGAGTGACTAAGTAAGAAAGGAGAGAAAAGGAAGGAGGAATACGCCACGTGGAGGGCGCACGTGGCCGCGAGCGTTATTCGGGGTGCGCGTCGGTAAACGATGGTTCTCGCTCATGTCCGGTTATGTCAAAACAGATTGGACAGTTGATTGGATGGATGGATGATCGATGGATATCTTTCTCATACTTGCCTCGTGCTTCGTTTTTTGTGCTTAATCAAAGCTGACAATTTTTTCTCACGATGTCTTTTTTGCGCTTCCATTTTTTCTTTGAATAATTTAAACTTTGTACCAAAAAGATGTACTCTTTTGAGGTCAATTGAGCTATCGACACGTAAAAATTCTTCTTCGAACGATGAACAGATATAGTGTTTTTTCTCTTTTTTTTCTTCATCATCTTCTTCCTCCATTCCGATCTGATTAAGCTAGAAGAATCTAATTCTTTATAAATATTTTTTATTTTATTAATTTTTTGTCATAGTATCTGAAGAATTTTGTTATATATATATACATACTATATCGTGTAGATAACATGTGTATTAAAATATCATACGATACGTGAATATATACACAACCAAAAGTTGCCGACATGCCTTAAAAAAATTTTAGGCATACGAATAAATTACGAAAAATTTAATAACTCAAGATTTACAAAAAATGCAGTTTTTCGTAATATAGTATATGATAATATATTAATAGAACATAACATCTACATAAAAAATATTTTTCTTAATTATTTTTAATCTTGCTTTTCGTTTCTGCTTTCTTTGAGAAATCACTGATATACTCGTATACATATATATATGTATATTCGTGGCTAATTGTACAATATATAATTGCCGTGTAAAGCCGCAAGAAAGATCGTCGATGGATGAGAACTTGATGCGCATGACGTTTTTATTTATACGTAATTGAACAGATCAAACGGCATGCTTCTCTCTTCCTCCAGAGAGCCTCCAAACACGCTCCGGTAAACGCGCAGTGGTCGCTGACGAGCTATGGTCAGACGAAGGCGCGGCGCGCGGATCTTTCGCGGGAAATCGCCGTAGAAATAATATTTACGCTTGCTGAGCAGCGCTGTAAAACGAATTCCATCGTCGTCATCGTGCCGATCGCCATAATACATCGTCGTTTCACCCCAAGTGCATCGAAATAGACACCGATTGCGCGCGAAAGGCGCATATGTGGAAAGTAAATATTAGCAGTATAAGTGGAATTTTTTGCTGAGACAATATTATTGCGATAGAAATTAGAAAATGCGAAATAACGATTGAAAAATTAATTTCGTCAATATTAATATTGAAATATTATTGTCATTTTTGAAAAACTATGTTATCGAAGATACAGATAAAATAAAATTTTTCTATCAACGTCAATATAAAAATTATTCTACAATATAAATGTGCATTATATTTTAATATTTATACGAACAATCCCATTTGTGCAATTAAAAATGTCTTTCCTCTTTTTTTTTTTACAGAAAAAAATTTATGATTTTGTTCTTTTACTAAAATCACAGATTCTTTAACTTGAAAATTCTAATCTTATCTTTTATTTTAATTTTAATGTAAAATATTTACACATTATTATATCTTCTACATTTCGTAATATGATTCTAGGGCAACACCCTAGCATTTTGCCGATCCGTGGCATTTCTCTTATTCGTACGATTTCAACGGTTCAACGTAGTGCAATAGATAGAAATGCAGTTTTCTCGCGGAGAAATTGGACCTCTTCCAGTCCTGGTTAATGACAGAAAGAGATGCGCGGAGGACGATGATTCTACGGCCGATGTGTAGTACGGTATGTGTCATAAGGTCGATTGAGAAACTCGGCTTTTCCGTCAACTCATAATGATTTGCTAGAGCTAGTAAAACGTGTTGTAAAACATAAAACATATAACTAAATGCTCAATATTAAAAGATTCTAATTCAATAAAACTTTATTACCGGAAATTTAAGAAAACTTAATTGATTAAAAAATAATTTTTTTTTCGTTAACTCAAGTATATTTAAATAAGATATATAATATATTATAAGTAAATATATTTTCGAGAATTAATTTATAGCATAATATTGAACGTATTTTTATTTGGTCCGCAAATTTTCATTCACGTGATGCTTATCATCGCGCGATTATTACGTAAAATTATTATGGTCGATCGCGCGTCATTAGGTCGCGCTTATTCCACGGGCGTGGGTGATCGACGTCAGCGTGCCAAGAGAGCCACGATAGTTACGAGCGAACAGCCGGTGCGCGTGCCAAACGTATGTGTTAGGTGAGGCTAGGCGAAAAGATCGAAGTCTCTGAATCATTTAAAACTTTAGGGCACCCCCGCCTGCCTTCAATTCTTCTGTTGTCGCATGATTTATCTCGAGACGTGTAAAATTAGAGAGCGAAAGATAGCATAGGAATTCAAGAGTTTCTATTTCGAATAAAACACACATTATCATTACGTATTTTCTGGCAAAAAAAATTAATCTTGTTTACAAAAAAGCTGCCTAAAATTTATATAGTTTATAGATATTAATTGTCTTATTTTACTATAATTTATTATTTTCTAATATATAATTATTTAAAAATATTTTCTTTATATTTGTTCGTTAGATTTTTCTTATACTAAAATATGACCAACTGTGCACCATTTATTTCCTTTTACGGCATTTATTATTTAATAAACTGCAATAAAAAAGAAACTCAAATTTAAAAAAAGAAATGTTCTCGAAATATGAAAATTTGACGTAGAATGATAATATTAAATTAATTTACAAAAGCATTTAATAAAAAAAATAATTAAATTAAAACAAATTAATTCTCACTAACGATCCGTAAGCGTATCAAAGTAAAGGATATTTATCAATATTTAAATTTTTCGGGAGAGATAAAGTTATGTGATGCTAATTGCTCACAGCGAAAGAGCCAATTGGCATCGTGAAAAAGAAGCAACAATAAACTTTAAGAGGACTTTGATATATTCGAATATTAATTTAACATGTCTTTCTTAAGAATAGAAAATGTTTCGAAGAAAGACCTGTTCTAATTATAATCTGTGCTCCCGTACTTGATTTAATTCAATTTCGTCTTGCAATTTCCATAACAATCTCTTTTTATTTAAATTTCGAGTCAAGCTTTAATGAGAGATAGTCATTCTCTCATCCTTTTTGAATAAATTATTTCTGTTAAAAATGGATTTTGGAATCGAAATAATGAAAAATGGCATTATCCACGCTTGATAAATAAACATAATTAAACTCTCACATAAGACCTTAAATCATCTCGCGAACGGCAATTTGCGCGGACGCGTGAGGTGCAATTTATCGATGGGTTTCCTCACGATACCTGGCACGAGCTCAGTAATTTTCGGACAGACGGTGGCCACCCGTTAAATTAGCACGATACATTTTTTCGCCGTCGAAGCTAAATAAATACCTGACAGATTTACTCAACAAACAAAATGGGAAACCGAAACTGCGAAAACGACGAACTAAAAACTCGTCGAAGCTCAGTTATACCTCAAAACCATCGATTATTTTTACAATTATAATAATATTATGATATATATATTTTTATACATTTATAAACAGTTAAAAAAATCGTCAATTATTTTGTAGCGCTTTTATAAAATTATTTATTATTACAAAGAGAAAGATTTTCTCGAATTAAATCTAAATGTAGATAGTTGAATAACAATGCTTACTTTTTAAATTATAATTTTAGATAAATTTTATATCAAAATTTAGTTCGATGCCAAATCGTCAAAATATTTAAATTCTAAAAGTCTAATGTTAAAAGCCTATTCCTCATTCTATGCAATTTAATATCTTTCTTCTTTCTACTTCTATTTCCTTTATTTCTTATTGTATTTTTCTTGGCAACTTGCTCTCGACGACGTTATTTCTGCGACTGGTCATCAAGAAAATGAAATTAATTCTTTTACTTTACTTTTATTCTTAATTCTTGCGGTTATTTTTCAGAAAATTTAAAAATGTATACCGCATATATCTAAAATAAATCTCTACTACATTCCATTTGATATTTCTCGTAATTTTCCGGCGTTTCACTCCATTTTACTCTAGCGATGGTCCAGATGACGTCGATGTTGGCCGCGGATCCGATGTTCTAACAGCGCGCACTTCTATAGTCAGAAATCGTAGGTATGCGCGATGAAGACGATGGCGAGTAGAAGAGACGAGGGGAAGTTCTCGAAACACGCGTGTACGCATACGCACACGCTCGGCGGAGACCCGAAGCACGAGAAGTGCGAGCAGGAGAGACCGAATCTCTCGCCTCGCCTCACCGACGTGAGCCTTGAAGCTTGAGTCATCATCATCCTCCCGTCATCGACATCGTCGAGACAATTACGAATTTGATATTATACAAGCGATAATGTAATAACAACGAGCGTATCCAGATTTCTGGATAGTCGCATTCTTTTCTATATAATATCATCTATCTGAATCATACTTATTTATACATAATGTATATGTAATCATACTGTATACATATATCAAATTATATTTGTAATTATATTTGCGCTAAAGAGTAAATATTTCTAACCAGATTTTTAAATTGAAAATTTCCGCAATATATAAAAAAAAAAATATATGTATATATAAAAGAAATCCTTCCAACTTCATTAATTAATTTAAAATTTATATATATATAATAAATAT